TGTGTGTGTGTGTGTGTGTGTGTGTGTGTGTCTGTGAGAGAGAGAGAGAGAGAGAGAGAGAGAGAGAGAGAGAGAAAGAGAGGGAGAGAGAGAGAACAAGAAAACGAAGATGAGAGAGGAGGCATGTAGGAAAACAGTGAGGATGAATCAGTTTTAGAAAATTGCTTTGTATTTTATAAAGCTTTGGATGATGTGAGTGATTAGGAATTAAGAACATTCTAGACTCTGCTCACATCCCTAAAGCAAGAAATTCTCCTAAAGCGTCCTGCAAAAGCAAACATTCCGTAGGATAAGCAGAACATCAGGGGCATATTAGTGGATGAGGGCACAGGCGATTAAATTTTTCACCGTACTGCCAAACTCCCTATGTATTCAGCCTGTCAGATCTCTTACATGGCACAGTATGGACATTGCTTGCATTCCTTTTACTGTGAGTGAGAGAGATCAAGTCGCTTCCAGTATTTTAATAAGTTATTTGCATTTCTTTTTCTATGTTTACTTGTATCTATCTTCCATTTGACTTTACGGGTGTGCTTGTGTGTCTTTCTTTAAACTTATACGTACTTTCTGTAAGTTAAAAAAATAGAATTTTAATTGGTCACAATTAACTTCCTCAGTTTATCATTTGCCCTCTAAAATTACTAATGGCATTACATTTTATTATAATTTATTTTGATGTAGTTTCTCACTGCAAAGTCTATACTGTCTTGGAGCTTACAATCTTTCTGCCTCAGCTTCCCAAATGCTGCCACTCAAGTCCTGTTATGGGATATTTGATTACACTGTGTGAAATGTGTCACTGCTTTATTCCGGTTGGTTTAATAAAGAGTTGAGTGGCCAATAGCTAGGCAGGAGAGGTTAGGTAGAAGGAGGAACTCTGGGTTAAAATCTGGTGAGGAGGGGATGCCAGCGAGACACTGAAGAAGTCAGACATACATCGTGGAGGATAGGTAGCAAGTCATGTGGCAGAACAGAGATTGATATGAATGGGCTAATTTAAGTTATAAGAGCTAGTTGGGAACAACCTAAGCTAAAAGCTAAGTTTTCTTAATTAATGATACATCTCTATGTCATTATTTGGGGGCTGGTGAGGCAAAGAAAGTCTGACAAGAAAGACCTACTATACAGGTCCGCACAGCATCTCTTCGTTTCATTTTAACTAGTCATGTTCACCAACATCTTGGCAAAATACCCACACTAATGAAGTCATCCAGCCATCCTCGAGATTTTTACCCACTCTCCAATGTCAAGAATATCTAGATGTGTTGGGCTTGACATTTACGAGGGTCTGCTGACCGAGAGAGATGGCAGACCACCTCTGACTTGATTTTTGGCTTCTCAATGACCTGTCCTTGGTGGATCACCAGGCAAATGTGACGAATGTGAGTGTGACCTGAACTTAGTCTGGAGTTCTGAAATCTCTTTTGTTTCCTTGTATTTACTCAAGAGCCATAAAGTGGTATTCTCTCAGCAAGTCTGTGGTCACAGAGCCCTGCATGCCCCTCAGGACCTGAGAACACGCCTATCACACAAACCTCTGCCTCCTTGTCCATCTCTAGTGCTGTTGTTACCTAGGAAACAGTGTGGTCTCCTGCAGTTGCCTTGCCATTTTGTTTTGCTAACAAGCTGCTGGTGACTGAAGATCTAACTAACTTCTGGGTGTTCGGGATTCTGTTTCCCTCTGCTCTTCCTGGATGGAGCACAAAGGTGTATTTCAGTCCAACTTCCATCTTTGAGGGGAAGGCCAGTTTGCTAGGAGGGGTTCATTTCAGGGGCTTGTGCTCTGTGATGATGTTAGTGACTTTAATGATGAAGGTATGTATATAGCAGTAAGTTCTAAAAGGAGGGAGATCGGGAAATCTGGCCTAACCTTTCATCTTTTCTCATAAATACTGCTAAATTAGGGATCAGCTAGATCTATCACTTTAAGTGGATAAAAAAAAAGAAACTTCTGTTTCAGTAAATCTAGTCTTCCACAGTCAAATATTAGGCAGACCTCAGGGAATCCTGTGCGAGAGGGGGATGAAAGATTGTGGGAGCCAGAGGGGACACGGCCACCACAAGAAAACCCACAGAATCAACTAACTTGAGATCATAAGGGGTCACAGAGACTGAACTTCCAACCAGAGAGCTTGCAAGGATGATATAGTTGCACAACTTGGTCTGGACTCCTTGTGGGACTCCTAACAGTGGGACTGTCACTGACTCTTTTATCTGTTTTTGGGGCCCTCTCCTCCGACTGGGTTGACTAATCCAGCCTTAATAGGAGAGGAGATGCCTAGCCTTACTACAACCTGTTATGCCATAGCTGACTGATATGCATGGGAGTCCGGCCCTTTCCTGAGGAGAAAAGATGAGGAGTGGATGGGAGAGGAAAGAGATAGATTGGGGGAGAGACTGGGAGGAGAAGAGGGAAGGGAAACAGATGGTGCTGAGAAATTAATTAATTAAAATAAATGATAATAAAATCACAAACAATATATAATAAATACATTTAATTTATTTATCATTATATTTTATTAATTATATTCTTATTATATATTAGTATAGCCATATTACAATATAACTATTAGTATTAATAAATAAATAAAAGAAACAATAAAAATGTAAAAAAATCAATAAATAGCATTTTCTATCCATGTATCCTGTGTCTATTTTTAGTAACAGGTAACAGAAGACTGAAAAAGTAACTGATAATACTATGGAACACATTGCTTCTAACAAAAGTCTTCTCTTGGAAACTTTTATGATAAATTGACAGAAAAGAAAACTAAAAGCAGTATTGTCATACGGCAGTGTTTTCCATGTTAATGAAGACTGCCTAGACCAGCTGATTCTACTTGGACTTGAGATTTTCCTGTTGTGATGGTTCAAAAGCAAAACACTTTTAATAGCCATGGTACTTGACATTTTGAGTGTGGGTCTTCTCTTCAGCGAGTGACATCTCCTACCACATTTCCCTTAAGATGTCAGGCAGTGTAGACCAGGCAGTATAGACAGCCACAGAGGTATGAAGGTCAGTGATCTGATTACGGATAGACACCGCATTGACAGCAGTTTTGGATACAAGCTTTCAGTGAATTGCATGAGATCTTCCATATTTATTATAATATAGTATCTGTATTAATGGTTCCACCCAGGTCAGAGTTCTGTCATATTTAAGATGAGCTAGGCTAAGCTATGATGTCTGGTAGACTGGGTACATTAAATTTATCTTCAGTCTGGGGTGATGATATAATTGATAAGGTGCTTGCTGTGTAAATATGAGGACCTGTGTTCAGATCTACAGCACCCAAGTAAAACTCCAGGCATAGTGGCATTCGCCTCTAATCTCAGTGCTATGGAGACAGACAAGAGGACCTCTGAAGCTCATCGGTCAGCCAATCAAATCAACTAATGGCTATAAGCTGAGGGAGAGAGAGAGAGAGAGAGAGAGAGAGAGAGAGAGAGAGAGAGAGAGACTCTGTCTCAGAAATAAGGTAGATAGTGCCTGAAGAAGATACCTGATGCTAACCTCTGGCCCCTCACATACACATAAACATGCAGCCAAGTGAATTAAAATTAGGGTGAAATCTGTAAAGCAAACCCAAACCACGTGGCACAGCTGGAGAGGTGGATATAGAAGCTACAAATCAATGGTCTATGT